AGCCGCAACGACAATCTGTGGATCATACAAAGAGTTGGTCCGTGCGGTAGTCGAATCCGCTACACGTTGCGTGGCAGCCGGTAGTCCAGACACCGCGCCAACGAAACTCTCGGGATGAAATTTGGAACAGAGGCACATTATGGTTTTGAGTAATACATAGGCTACTGAGTGCCAAGCACGAATAACTATCGCATTCGTAACGTAATAGTATCTATCGAGCGCGTTCGGCGCCCTGATTAGCCGGCTCAAGTGTACCAACCAATCAGAACGCTTAACGCGCTCGATACTGTTACGATACGAATGCGATAGTTATTCGTGCTTGGCAGTCTGTTTACCCCTGGGGACGTCGGTAAAGTCGCTGGTCCAACATAAAAATAATGAACTGGGATGATGACAGGGTATGAAACTTAAAAATCTAATTAGTCCGTAAGTTAGGTAACTAAAAAATATTAGACACGTATTTTTTTTATTTTGTCGTATAATAAAACAATACTTAGATAAAACGAATCAAAGTTTAGGAGTGGGGGCTAAAACGTCATTATCGTATAAAATGTACATAGAAGTGACGTCACGCGACATTTCAAATCAATATATCGTCGAAAGTATTCGTTTCTGTAAGAAAATAAAAAATACGTGTCTAATGATTTAAAATAATCTACCAGACGAACATTAAAATAAAAATGAGACATCTACCTTATTATTTAATTCGTACTAGTGATTACTAAGACGTGAACGTCAATTAGATCTACGTTAATTTGTAACCAAACATTTACATGAAGTAATGGATATATAGTCAAACAGTCATTTTCAATTCTTTCACACGACTGTTTACGAAGTGGTTTTGTGTTTTATCTACACTAGGCAGTTGGTGTTCCAACTATATTATCATTTCATTTGTCTATATTAAAACTAGTCGAATTCCTAGTCAAAGAGTTACGTGAGAACATAATAATTCTTCAATTTGTCATTTGATTCCTATAAACGTAAACTTTATTACTGACACATTGCTTCGCCCTCGTTACCAGGGTAAAGAGTAGCCTATGTCTTATTCCAGATCACGTACGTATCAAGTTTTGTTCGAACGCACTAACTTATGGAATTACGAGTTCGAATTTAAAGGTCCTTTATTTATATTAAAACTTTCGTTAGACACAGAAATATATTATTTTTGTTTTCTGCTTACTCACGTAACTGTTTGACGAGGAACTCGACTAGTTTCAAGCCATGCTAGAGGCTTATATTCATGAGCAGTATTCCGTAGCACCGGGGCAGTCACCACGTCGCGTGTCGTGCATGGCATGGCTTGAAACGAGGCGAATTCCTCGGCAAAAGAGTTACGTGAGTAAGCCGAAAACATAATGAGATTCTTTGTGTTAAACAGTATGTTATATTAAGGAAGGCTTACAAGAATAGGCTATGAAACATCATGCTACAATTATTAGAAGTCTGTAGCGAGTGGAACTACGCGAGAGTAGCTATAAGAAAATATTTATCGTTTAGCCAAATAACTACTACTACTGATGCTAAAAGATGCTACTGTGCTATGTCTGGCCTGTTGTTATGTAGTTGCGAAGCATGGACCTTAAATATGACACCATGCGTCTGCATAAAGGCGTTGGAGGAAATGTAATGTTACCGTCACTTGTTGCACATAAGTTAGACACAAAAGGTCAGAAACAATACCGTGCTCGCGCGTCCACATGCCACGCAAAATGATAAAAACTATCAAAAAAAGCAAGAAAGAATATCTCGGTAACGTACTGAGACATGACAAATACATACTGCTTCATCTCATAATGATGGGTAAGATGGAAGTCGTGGCTGCACAATATCCGGGAGTACACCAGTATCAGCTCTGTGGAACAAGTTTTCTGCCTGGCCAATGACAAAGACCAATTCAAAAAGCTGACGGCCAACCTTCAGGAATGAAGTGGCACCATAAGAAGAAATAACTACTAAGTGCACGTCTTTCAATGGGTAATAGAGTAAATAAAACTAAGCCTGACTTTTTGAGGAAATTCGTAACCATTATAGACAATAATAATATACAATTTATGTATATGATGATGATGATGATGATGATGATGACAATCTGAAAATGAATGACAGGAAAACAAAAGACGCGTGTCCATATTTTAAAATGTATAACGCGAGAGGATAATAACATAACATGTTAAAAATATTCCTATTGTTGGTACTTATCGGGAAACAACAAAACTATATTTAGGAATGATCTGGTGTTTATTTCGATTTACCTAAATTTATAGTTAATTAAGACGACGTGATTCTATAGTACCTACATACTTGAATTTGTTGTAAAATTTAAATTATTATAGTTGATCAGCCTGGTGTTTGAAATATAACCAATAGGGTAGATGCCTAATTTTAATTTTAATGTCCGTCTAGTAGATTGTTTTAAATCATTAGACACGTATTTTTTATTTTCTTACAGAAACAAAATACTTTGAACGATATATTGGTTCGAAATGTCGCGTGACGTCACTTCTATGTACATTTTATACGTAGAAATGACGTTTTAGCCCCAACTTCTAAACTTTGATTCATTTTATCTTAGTATTGTTTTATTATACGACAAAATAAAAAATACGTGTCTAATATATTTTAATTACCTTACTTACGGACTAATTAGATTTTTAATTTTCATACCCTGTCATCATGTAGGTTCTGTCAGCTGTTTTGCCCGCGTTCTCGTGGAGCAAAAGTGGCCTATATTCCAGACCAGATTATCAGGAGTATAATCTAAATCCGATCAGTAGTTTTTGGGTGAAAAAGTAACAAACATACACACAGACATACAAACAAACTTTCGCATTTGTAATATTAGTAGGTTAGGATAGGATATACAGTGGTGAGTGGTCGCAAGTGCGACTGCTGGGCAAGAGGTCTCAGGTTCGATACCCGGTTCGGGCAAAAGGATTACTGGGTTATTAAAAACAAATTGTCAGCAGTAACACGAAGTCTGGAAGTTGTGCGGTATATGGAAGTAGGCTCATCCTCTATTACATGGGGCTCATAACATAAATAGTGAACAGTGGGTGTTACATTGTACAGGGGCATTAAGTGCCATAATCTGCACCTCTGCCTTCCTCTTCAGAAATAAAAGACGTGATTTTATGTTATGTTAGGATATACTAATTCGGCACTAAATAGAATCATCTTTTAATATATGACCTCCTTAATAGCCGAAGAGATAGAATGTGTATATTTTAGGGGATTAAAAATTTGACAGTTTTAAATTCCCATCAACTAAAAACCACTACGTTCCGGCAACACACATGACTGTATGATATTATGTTCATGTTACTGAAAAAACAAATGTTGAAATCTACTCTTCGATACACATTGTCAATACAAGACCACACAATTGATTTGGTCTGGTATTGTCAATTTGTATCGACTTATTCTATGGAAAACCTTCAGGCCATCTGAATTGTGACGACATTATGACGCATTTGAATGTGTAGCACACACTCACATCAATAACTATTTCTGGTACTGTTAGGAAACACAATACAACAAATAAGGATTTGGTTTAAGACCTCGGAGGCCCAATTACCCTCCCCTTCCTCAATCTCCCCAATTCCTGAATCCCTAACGATCCTCAAACTCCTAATCCCCAAAAGGCCGGTAACGCACTTGTAATGCCTCTAGTGTTCCAGGTGTCAATGGGTGACGCCGATTTCTTACCATCAGGTGATCCGTTTGCTCGTTTACCGGCTTGTGGCATAAAAAAAAGACTAAAGATCCCCGGGAACTTAGTTCGCATTGGTCTAGTATTATTTTCTTACATTAGAACCTTCTCCAAACTATAATAATCCCAACAAATAAAGAATTCACAAAATCGGTTTAGCTGTTCTTAAGATTTGCGCTTAGCAATGCATTCATTTTTATTTTATATAGATTACTAGCGACACGCCCCGGCTTCACACGGGTGCAATATGCATGTATTATACATATAAACCTTCCTTAAAAATAACTCTATCTACTAAAAAAACTACATCAAAATCAGTTGTCTAGTTTTAAAGATAGACGGCGAATAGCGACTTTGTTTTATACTATGTAGTGATACAAAATATTCTTAAGGCGTCCTTATAAAGCTACAACTAATACGACCAAGGCTGTGATTCTTCTAATCCTTTATTCTGCTTATACCTTAGTTTATGAAAGTCTTCTACAAACAATAATTTTGTAATACAAAACCTAACAATTATTATCGATCCGATCAAGCAAGAATATCGCACGGCTGTCACTATCGCGGACATTAGATCAATAAATCAATAGAAATAAATGTCAAACATTTGATAAATAAAACAAAATGGTCGAGTAACTTTAACAAAACAAAATAATATTTGAGCCTTTGACTGCCATTATAAAACTGAAAATTTTCCGCTAACCTCGGTTTATGATGACACCCGTGGTGTTTAACGTGTTGAATAATGTATTTATTTCCACAAACCAAGTAGAAAAAGGCCTTATAATCCAAAATGCATTTACAATTTTGGATTGTGGATCACTGGTGCCCGAGGTAGTTAAAAACCCTGGGTTATAGGTCACCAGGTCTCTTTAACAGGTTTACCGTATAATAAATAACTATTAAAGCATACCTATATTAAACACTAGCTGAAGCAACAAACTTCATACCGGCTAAAACAAATTATATTACCGTTTAAACCTTACCTGGACTTCCACGAGTTTCTCAAGTGAAACAAGTGAATCACGTGAAACAAGTGAATTTATTTCTGCAAATAGGCTACAAGGCAGCACTTTTACACGTCAATTTTATCAAGCGAACGATGAGGTCGACTCGAGTTTTAGCAAGATTAACGAAAGGAAATTTATTTTTATTTATATAAATAAAAACCAATTAATATTCCTCATAGTTTAAGTACTTATATGAAAAATATTAATTAATTATTTCCATGACAATAGACATAAACTCCAATTATCACAATTCTCACTGTCAAATTCTTTCTATCCAGATTCGAGGAGACATCAGTCATCTACCCAACATGCGCATCCAACGACACCTCCTGTCTTGGTGGGTTCGCTCGCCTTTATCAGGAAATCCAGACTCTGTTGAAAGAACGTCCAGGAGCACTACTCCTGAATGCTGGAGACACTTTCCAGGGGACCTACTGGTATACCTTGCTGAAGTGGAATGTTACCCAGAGGTTTATTAATATGCTGCCCAACGATGCTCATGTAAGTACTGTTATGGCATGGTTTCTGTTTCACTAAGAAATTCAGTAAATTACTGAATGTTGTTGACTGCCTAGACTGCCTCGTTGGCCGGGTCTCGGGTTCGATTCCCGGGTCAGGCAAAGTATTACTGGGTTTTTTAATATTCTCAGTAATAGCGCGGAGTCTGGAATAGTACCCGGTATATGGCAATAGGCTCACCCCATGGGACTCATAACATAAATAGTGAAAAGAGGGTGTTACATTGTACAGTGGTATAATGTGCACCTCTGCCTACCCCTTCGGGGATAAAAGGCGTGATGTTATGTTATGTGTTACTGAATTTTGTTAGTTTGTAGCATCTACAACAACAACATCAGCACCCTATAAGTGGCCAATGCCGACCAAAAGCCTCTTCTCACACGAAGAAGGTTTGAGCATTATTAAGCACGCTTGCTCAATGCGGGTTGGCAATTTCAAACTAGTAGTTGTGGCCCGGAGGTTTCAGACGCCAGCTTCTCATGCACGAGGGCGCGGGTTTGAAACCAACCAACATCAAATACCAACGTGACTTTTTCCGAGTTATAAATGTACTTTCTAAGATTATTTAGACACCACTGACAAACGGTGAAGGACAACATCGTGAGGAAACCTGGGCTTATAATTTCTCACTATAAGTTTGAAACCGCCAACCCGCATTGAGAAATAGCGATTAATGTTCAAAGCTTCACCGTGGAGAGGACTTTGGTCAGCAGTAGCTACTTATAGGCTGTCGATGATAATAATGATATTAATATGTTGGAGAATGAAGAATTTGATGTATCTTAACAACACTTTCATCTTCTTGAATATTTCTATTGAACCTAGATAGATCTTGTACCCAGCAGTTTTATTCAATACTACTTCCGCGCGGTTTCACACGCTCTGCTCAGCCAGCCTATAGCCATCCTCAATAAATGCGCTATCCAACACAAAAAGAATTATTCAAATCAGACTTGTAGTTACAGAGATTAGTGCGTTCAAACAAACAAACAAAAAAACAAACTCTTCCGCTTTATATAATAGTATAGGATACCATTAACAATACTATCTTCCAGAACAATTTTTAACCCTGACTCTTTTTTTCAAGGCCCTGGGCAACCATGAATTCGACGACGGCATACCAGGACTACTACCATATATAAGAGCGATGAAGGCACCTGTGCTTGCAGCCAATCTGGCCAGCAGCAACGAGACAGGATTGAATAGCTACTACCAGCCGCATGTGGTGGTGGAGAGAAAGGGACGGAAGATCGGCATCATAGGACTTATAACTAAGTCTACCGAGGTAGGTGAAAAAGAAGTTTTTTAGTAAAATCTGATGATAATGAAGATGATTCAATTGTTTGGTTTGGTTCTGTAGTTGTTCTGTAGTTCTGTTGCGACTGCCTCATTTGCCGAGTGGTCGCAAGTGCGACAGCCAGGCAAGGGGTCTCGGGTTCGATTCCCGGGTCGAGCAAAGTATTACTGGGTTTTTTTCAAAATCTCAGTACTAGCACGTAGTCTGAAAATGTGCCCGGTATATGGCTATAGGCTCACCCCCTATTACATGGGACTCATAACATAAATAGTGAATAGTAGGTGTTACATTGTACAGTGGCATTAAGTGCCGTAATGTGCATCTCTGCCTACCCCTTCGGGGATAAATGGCGCGATGTTATGATGTTATATGGTTCTGTAGTTAGATGCAGTGTTATCTTCTTTCCTAAGATACTTTATTATGTAAAATCCTTCTCTATTAAAATAAGCCGCAGTTTTCGTCAGTCTATCTGTACCTATATATGCATGTTATATTGTATATATTAATCATGCTTATATGTATGTTTGAATGATGCGTATGCGATTACCTCGTGATTAGCTGAACTGATTTTGTTACGGTTTTCAGAAAAGTATTTATTGCACTTAGGAGAAGGTTTTTAGTACATTAATAGGGTAGTTACTGAAATTATATTGTAATGTCCGTCTGGTACATTAATTTAAAACTTTAGACACGTTTTTTTCTTTTCTCACAAAACTAAATACTTTCGACGATATATTAATTTGAAGTATCGTGTGACGTCACAGCGTGTCATATTTTGTAGCACTTTATGACGTAACGACCTCCCACTCCTAAACTTAGCGCCATTTTATCTAAGTATTGCAACTTAATACGAGAAAAAAATGATGTGTCTAATATTTTTTCATTATCTAACTGACGGATTAATTAGATTTTTAATTTTGATACCCTGGAAACTACCCAATTATCCGACTTCAAAAGAAGAGGGGGTAGAAGCAGATTATTCAAACGTAGTTTGTTATAAAATCATTAATCGTTTTTATCAATCGATAGAAATTGTAATTCAAAGTCAAGTGTTGATATTTCTAATTCATTATGGTTTTAACCACGTGAGTAGAGCCTTATTAAATGTGGAAATTATCAACAAATACTTTTTGTTTGCAGTAGTTTATCGATTTGAATTAATTCGTCAAGCAATTTAAAAATTAAGATTGTTATGTTGCTTAGTAAAATTCTTACTGACCATATCTAACTGACTAGAATTAAACATCTAAAGTAATGTCTAATTCTCCTTCTTGCAGCTCTTGTCCAATGCAGAAGGGGTGACGTTTTTAGAACCAATCCCTGTAGTACAAAAAGAAGCGCAATTGTTGACGGACCAAGGAGTTGACATCATTATTGTGCTATCACATTGCGGGCTTGAAGTTGACAAGTAAGTTTTTCATTCATGACTTCACGTGACACCCATTTTTTCCATTCATCAGTCCCAAATTATCAGTAGAAATGTGTCCACAACTAAACAAAAGCTTCTTGCTTACATCAATCATTAATAAGGGTTCGATTTGGTCCTGAAAAAAAATAATAATAGGGTAAATGCCTAATTTTTATTTTAATGTCCGTCTGGTAGATTGTTTTAAATCTTTAGACACGTATTTTTTATACAGTTTCGTACAGAAACGAATACTTTCGACGATATATTGATTTGACATGTCGCATGACGTCACTTCTATGTACATTTTATACGTAGAAATGACGTTTTAGCCCCAAATTTTGATTCGTTTTATCTAAGTATTGTTTTATTATACGACAAAATAAAAAAAACGTGTTTAATATTTTTTCATTACCTAACTTACGGACTAATTCCATTTTTAATATCATACTCTGTCATCATCCCAATTGTATGCTCGCCATGTCCAATCTCGAGATCGAATTTACGTTACAAAGCAAATACGACCTAATATAGTAAATATTGATTTACTATATTGAAAAATAACTGGTGACCCATTGCAAAAAAAACCTCAAAGATTATAAGGAAAGAAAGAATAGAATAAAGAAAAAGTATTTATTTGACTATATTTTTTTTAAATGCGCATATAAACTCAGTACGTTATCAAAACATCATGCGATGTTATTCCCAAAGAGATGTTTCTCGTCGTGTGAGACGTGTACGAATAGTGCCTACAAAACACTAGCCGTAAATTTGTAGGCACTATTCGCATCATCTCTTTGGGAATTACATCGCGCGATGTTTTGATAACGTACTATGAGTTCATATATGCGTATCTCCTTGAATTCCTTTTTAAAATAAAGATTAAATTACATCTTTTTTTTTTGTTTTTACTGTATACATCGAAATTCCTTATGAGATTTTTTTTTGTCGCAGGAAACGAAATAAATTGCACGGTGTATAATCTGCAGACTGTCCTCTAAGTTCGAATAAAAATCACCATACACCACAAACACCATTAAAATCATCCATAAAAAACCCATCACCTTCCATTACTTACACCATCCTTCCTCGACATAGAATATATATTTTATCAGCATAAATTCCAACTCATGCTTCATCTATCTGGTGACAATTTTATTGGAAAATATAGCCGATAGCTTTACCTTTGCATTTAAATCGTTTCGAAGTCGATAAAATAAATCTAGATGCATTGCATAGATGAGGTTTTATGCTTAATCGAGTTTTTGGTATGGAAATAATTTGTTAGGAAGAAGATGAGGAAATAGGGTAGATGCCTAATTATTTTTTAAATTTCCGTCTGGTAGATTATTTTAAATCATTAGACACGTATTTTTTATTTTCTTACAGAAACGAATACTTTCGACGATATATTGATTTGAAATGTCGCGTGACGTCACTTTTATTTACATTTTTTATGTAGAAATGACGTTTTAGCCCCCACTGCTAAACTTTGATTCGTTTTATCTCAGTATTGTTTTATTATACGACAAAATAAAAAACATGTATTTTTTAATTGCCTAACTTACGGACTAATTAGATTTTTAATTTTCATACCCTGTCACCATCCCAATTGTAGCTTTTAAAAGGTAGACAAAAGTTATACATGATTTTGGTAGAAAAATTAATTTAGTATGTGTAGCAGATTAGGGCTGGATGTTGTTCACAATGAATTCAAAAAACTGAGAAAATTGGCGGGACCAAGGAGCGGTCTTCGATTTTTAAATTCTAGCGCATCTACACCACGTACCACCGTTTTTCTTATCGCGCTTAAAGCGTAATTTCAAAGTTCAAAAGAGAATTTTAACAAAGAGTTGCAATGACTATGTTAAATATGATGAAAAACATACCGGGTTACCAGAGCATCAGTCCTAGGCAGAAGTAGGAACGGGGTGGTTTTACGTCAGTAAGAGTCTGACAATCTTTCTCTCGCCTTGCGAGAGACGTCATTGGATGATTTTCCACCCTCAAAAAAGATACGGTGTCATTATTTGTAAGATTTTCAAATTTCAATCTGAGTCTGGATGTGGTAAAGGTTCCCTAAATTGACGAGGTTATCGTATTTAATTCCTATTATGCACGAGACGATAGGTCTCTAGTCAAGAACTGAATCTGCAAAGGTTTAAACAATTATTTGGTTCTGGCTATCCAGTAATGATTTATGAATGTACATATGGAATTGAAGTTTTATCTCGGAATGGAAATTGAAATTCTTAGTAATATATCTATGATTATATTTTACATAAGAGAGTTTGTCCTAGATGAGCTAGTTGTGTGCACGGCCTTACAGAAGATCGACGTGGAACAACACAAGCGTTTTTTTTTCACGTCGTAGCAGTGAGGTTACACAGGCCCAAACCCCCCCCCCCCCATCCCCAATCCCTGAATCCCGAACAATCCTCAAATTTCTATTCCCAATAGGCCGGTAACGCACTTGTAACGCCTCTGGTGTTCCAGGTGTCTATGGGCGACGCCGATTGCTTACCATCAGGTGATTCGTCTGCCCGTTTACCGGCTCATTCCATAAAAAAAAAATGTCCGGTGTTCACGAGAACTGTAGTCTTAGGATCCTAGCAGAAAAAAAAAGAATTTGTGACAAAATTCTCCATTACCATCACCACACGTCACATCTTAACCTTCAGATTAAAATAATAATTGATACTTCTATTTACAGACAAATAGCGAAGCAAGTTGGTGAGAATATAGACATTATAGTTGGAGGTCACTCGCACAGTCTACTCTGGAACGGGGAGGCGCCGAGTAAGGAAAAAGTTTCTGGACCCTACCCTGTTATGGTGGAGAGTGAGGCCAAGCCTGGACATCAGGTATGTGTAGTCATAACCACAAACAATCTGTGTGTTCACTTATGGACTTCAGATCTCCTTTCAGAAAATGTGGAATTTGATCATTGTTTTTTTAAACGTTGCCCCATATTAGGATCTTCATTCATTATGTTGTTACTAGCTTCTACCCGCGGCTTCGCTCGCGTTACAAAAGGATAAAAAGTAGCCTATGTGACATATACCAATACACACAGCGCCATCTATACTAATAATTTCGTTTTCCCTCGAGAATATAATTTTTTCCGGGATAAAAAGTACCCTATTATTTAATACAGACTTCTAACTTCACATCTGCAAAAAATCAAAGCAATGGGTTTAGTAGTTAAGGCGTGAAAGTGGAACAAACAAACAAACAAACTCACTTTCCGATTTATAATATTAGTAAGGATTAGTAAGGATTCCTTCGTTTTGTAGTAAATTGAAATCCCGTACTAATGACTGTTCCAACATATTAATATGTTGTAATGTTCCAACATATAATTTCTGGATCACATGAAAAGTTGCGACGCGTTGCGCGTTCGGTTGCCCAACCCCTGCGCCAACTGTGCAGGCAATCAGTTCCCAGACCAAAATAACATAACATAACATAACATCACGCCTTTTATCCCCGAATGGGTATGAGGTGCACATTATGCCACTGTACAATGTAACACCCTTTTTTCACTATTTATGTTATGATTCCCATGTAATAGGCCAATAAGGGATGAGCCTATTGTCATATACCGGGCACAATTCCAGACTCCGTGCTACTACCTACTTTGATTTTTTTAAAACCCAGTAATAGTTTGCCCGGTCCGTGAATCAACCCGAGACCCCTTGCCCGGCAGTCGCACTTGCGACCACTCGGCCAACGAGGCAGTCATTAATGTTGATTTTTAACATTAATTAAAGAGTTTCTATCAAACAAGATTGATGTAGATATTTAGTATTAAAATTAGTTATTATTGTTTATTGATAGTCGGCTCTTGATATTCACAAGCAGTATTCGTACGTGGCTTATTAAACGATAGACCCATTTGTATATATTTTTATCAATGCACGTGGCCTTAAACGTGGATTTTGTGCACTTAAGTACCTGCTTTATAAAAACAAATTCGATTTACATCGCAGTTTGGTTTAATGTTATGTCAAAGTTCGTGAACCATTGCAAAATACAATGATAAGGTGAATAATACAGTAACGATTACCTCGTTGATTTATAGTGATTTTTATTAAATGCGTAATTTAGTACTAGGTAATTATTATGGTCGGCGTGTGACGGATCTATTCGCATGTCGGAAAAAGAATTACTGGGTCATTTTTTAATTTTTCTTGTAGCATGGAGTCTGGAATTTTGCCCCTTATATAGCAATAGCAATAGGCTCACCCTTTATTACATCAGACTCATAACATAACATAAATAGTGAACAGTGGGTGTTACATTGTACAATGGCATTGAGTGCCGAAAATGTGCACCTATGTCTACCCCTTGTCGCGGAGAACCTAACGGGTAACCGGGGCTCCAGCTCGAAGTGCAGGAGAAGGAACGGGGTGGTTTTTAGTCAGTAAGAGTCTGACACTCCCTCCCGCCTCACCCTAGGCGGGAGCAGTAATTCGATGATATTCCCCCCTTAAAAAAATGCCTACCCCTTTGGGGATATAAGGCGTGATTTAGATAATGGTACGTACTTATTATTGTAACGACGTACGAAGTAGTACTTCAATCGCTTCGGTCAGATTCAGACGAAGTTAGTAGCACCTTCCATGGAGACATTGGCATCAGAATCTGACACAAAGCGTTGTCATCATCATCATCAACAGCCTATAAAAGCCCACTGCTGAGCAAAGCCTCTTCTCAAACGGAGAAGGTTTGAGCATTAATCACCACGCTTGCTCAATGCTGGTTGACGATTTCAAACTTATAATTTGAAATTATAAGTCCAGGTTTCCTCACGATGTTTTCCTTCACCGTTTGTCAGTGGTGTCTAGATAATCTTAGAAAGTACATATAACTCGAAAAAGTCACATTGGTACTAGCCGTTGGTAGGTTTCGAACCAGCACCCTCATTCATGAGAACCGGGCTTCTTAAACCTCGGGGCCAACATCATATAATCGTTGTGCCTTGTTAAAAAAACCATAGCAATCAGGCAGTATACAATTTGATGCCGCTACTATATAATTTTGTATTTCATTTACAACCATCGTATTTTATTCAATAGATACGAAAATTATGTCATGTCCTCTTATAGTTATGGTAATTATGGTAACCATGCTAAAAATAAAATAATTGTACGCATTTTAATAATAATTAATCGTACATTCATTCGAGTTTCTTGCAATCAAATCCAGATTTTCAGATTCTCTATTCTAAGTCACATGTAACAATTCATAGTTATTTCATCAAAATAACATTTTATTACCAAATTAAGCCGCACGAGTGCGAGCCATTTATAATTATATTGATATCACAACAAATCATGTGGAAGTAATTAATACCTATTAATAATCAATTAAAATTGTTTCATAATATGATGGTAAATGAGTCTAGTATGTAGTGAATCAAATCTCTATTATATTAATGCTGCTTAATTATTCTATGTCCAACTAATTTACAAGGTTTTATTTAACTTGTTTGGCCGAGTGATCGCAAGTGCGACTGCCGGGCAAGGGGTCTCGGGTTCGATTCCCGGGTCGGGCAACGTGTTACTGGGTTTAAAAAAAAATCTCAGTTTTAGCACGGAGTCTGGAATTATGCCAAGTATATGGTAGGCTCACCCCCTATTACATGGGTCTCATAACATAGATAGTGAAAAGCGGGTGTTACTACTGTGTGCACCTCTGCCTACCCCTTTGGGGATAAAAGGCGTGATGTTATGTTATGTTATTTAACTTGCAACGTGTATGAAATAAAATTTTGTAACTTTTTGAGGCAGACATCTTCAATCGACTGAGCTGAAATTTTGTCTATACGTTTAGTTTGCATGACCATAGATGCCAAGCTGCATAAAAACTAGTTATTTTAAAGATTTTTTATAGCATAAGCCTGTAAATGAGCAGACGGATAACCTGATGGTAAGCAATCGGCGTCGCTAATGGACACCTGGAACACCAGAGGCGTTACAAGTGCGTTACCGGCCTTTTGTGGATTAGAAGTTTGAGGATCGTTGGGGATTCAGGAATTAGGGAGATTGGGGAAAGGGAGGGTAATAGGGAATCCGGTAATCTCACTCACACGACGAAACACAACGCAAGCGTTACTTCACGTCGGTTTTCTGTGAGGCCGTGGTATCACTCCGGTCGAGCCGAAGCATGGCTCTCCCACACTTAAAAATGTTTTATAAGAACTAATTTCACGATTACGTTGTGGATATTGGTATTCGTTTTTTTATGGGATAACCCGGTAGAAGAGTAGAATACACAGATCACTTGATGGTAAGCAATCGGCGTCGCCCATGGACATCTTGGAACACCAGAGGCGTTACAAGTGCGTTACCGGTCTTTCCGGTCCTCAATCCCCAATCAGGAATTTGAGGATTGTTGGGGGTTCAAGGGATTGTTCACGGTATATGCTGAATTCAATTTCCCTTTTAATTGGTATCGTCTTCAACTCTTGAGATCAAAATACTACCAGTCACTTTAAATGATTATGATTATCACTTCATCTAATCAAATTACCACAAGAGGTTTAAATAGAAAATACCTATTTGTTTTTTGCTGTACCTAACGTAATCAAACAAAAATCCATTTTATTCCAGGTCTTAGTGGTGACAGCATCAGCTTACACCAAGTATCTGGGCAACATGACAGCATACTTTGACAACGCAGGAGAGCTGAAGTCTTTTGAAGGATCACCCGTCTTCTTAAACCGGTCTATTCCTGAGGGTATGTATTTTTGTTCTGAAACTGTGCATTATCACGATTACGGTTCGAAGTCTTAAGAAGTATATTAAAGGCAGGCGTGCTTCATTATCGACCGCATTATCGCTAACCACCAGGCGGGAAGAAACACATCATAAAAATATTTACAATCTTTATATATATAATTCTTCTGTGAGTGTGTATGTCACTGAACTTCTCTCAAACGATTGGACCGATTTTGATGAAATTTTTTGTGTGTTCAAGGGGATCTGGGAATGGTTTAGATTCACAAATCAGCCCGGCAGATGGCGCTGTAGTCGATGTTTAGGTTATTTATCCTAAACAGCTGAACTAATTTGAATGAATTTTTTGTTTATACATTCAAGTGGATATGCAGGACAACGTCTGTGGGTCCGCTGGTCTCAAATAAAATACTCCCAAAATCCTCTGTAACAGAAGGTCTTCCTCTTTATAGAATGATCCTCCTCTTTATAACTGTCTACTTTTAAACCTACTTCTGTTTACACTAGGCTAATTCATCATAGTTTTTCCACAGATCCTGAAATCAAGGCTCTTCTACAGCCATATACGGAAGAACTGCACAAAATCGTGAATGAAGTGGTTGGTTCATGTACTGATGATATGGAGATGGACTCGTGTGCTTACCAGGAGTGTGCTCTTGGCAACTTCATTGCAGAAGCATTTTTGAATATCGTAAGTAGACATTCTACGAGTGCCGTAATAGTTGAGAGACTAAGGCATTTTCAGAGACTGATCTTTTTATTTGCATGTCTAATATTTTTTCATTATCTCACTGACGGACTGATTAGATTTTTAATTTTGATACCATTTTGATAATGAAAATAAATAAATAAAAAAATACCTATTTTGTTCTTTTCCAGTCACATGATCTACACCCAACAGCGCTACCTTCTATTTCTTTCCTTCAAAGATCAATGGTCCGCAGTTCTTTGCTAAAAGGAGGTGTGTGAGTATTTTATTTATTAACGCCAATATTTTGGAAATGGTTTGTACTTCTGCGTACTATTCCCTCTATTTCTATTAGTCCTTTCGCCAATTTCTGTACTAATAGACGTCTTTCTTTTAAACCTTAGTAGCACTCGAATAGTAAACTATTACATAATAGTTCCAATTAATTTTTTCTTAAACTCTAATCCTTACAAGGCTCTATATTTAATTACCCTAACGCCTGAATACTGAAACGTTACTCATTTTTAAGTCAAGCTTAAGTATAGTTCTGTCACTACAAATTCTTTGTAAAATGACAGAGATGGCACGATATTTAAGCACGACTTAAAATTGAGTAACGTTTCAGTATTCCGGCATAAGTTTCTATATTTGTAATTACATTCTACAATACTAATGGAGTTTGTTTTTTATATTATTTCTAAAAAATATTCTCTTATTTCAATCTCCCTTGGTCGTAATACTTTCTCTCGACACAGAATAATAATATTTCAATCATTTTCGTTCCAGACATCACAAAGGGCTCGATAATAAATATATCACCGTTCACAAATAGAATGGTGACTTTTGTCATCTCTGGTATTCACATCGTGGAGGCTATGGAACGGTCAGTGATGTTCCCTTGGAGACCAAAGCCGTATACTGGACCTTATACACCACATTTTTCTGGTAAGTTCATTTTATGTCTGCCTCCTTGGACTGGTCGGAATTGCGACTACCGATCAAGTGGGGTCATTCAATTCCCGGGTCGGGCAAAATAATACTGAGATTTAAAAAAAAAAGACTTCAGTAGTAGCACGAAGTCTGTGGCCGGAATATGAATATAGGCATGAGCCTATTGTCATATTCCGGCCCATGTTATAGGGGATGACCCCTATAACATGGGACTCATAACATAAATAGTGAAAAGTAGGTGTTACATTGTACAATGGCATTAAGTGCCGTAATGTACACCTCTGCCTAACCCTTCAAGGTCGCGCGCGCCTCAAAGAGCCATCAGACCACCACAGATGGGGCCCAATAGGGCCGATTCAGAGTCGCGGAGAACCTAACGGGTAACCGGGGCTCCGGCTCGACGTGCAGGAGAAGAAACGGGGTGGTTTTTAGTCAGTAAGAGTTTGACACTCCCTTCCGCCTCGCCCAGGCGGGAGCAGTCATTCGATGATTTTCCCCCCTTAAAAAAAAACCCTTCAAGGTAAAAGCCATAAGGTTTTGTTATTCATGTTTTGTAATCAGATTGTTGTTCGGTGTGTTGATAGCATTAGTACATTTGTAACCACTTTTACTGTACACATCAGTGTTGTAAAACCTAATAAAGGGACTGTAACTAAAGGTGGGGCAGAAGTGCTCTCTGATAATGCTGAACCTTTCAAACTGCTATTTACTTAACTGCTAAGCATAAAGATAGAGGGCCATAACAGTTCAGCTACTATATTGAAGCTTTTTTTTTGAGGGGGGAAAATCATCCAATGACTTCTCCCGCCCGGGTGAGGCGAGAGGGAGTGTCAGACTCTTACTGACTAAAAACCACCCCGTTCCTAATTCTGCACTTCGAGCCGGAGCCCCGGCAACCCGTTAAGTCTTCCGCGGCTCTGTATCGGCATCAGTCCTGTTGGGCCCCATCTGTGGTGGTCTGATGGCTCCTTAACACTAGAAAGACGGAAAAAGTCATCTACCTACAAAGACGGCGAGCGGTCAAATGACTGCTCCAAGTTTTTTCATATTTTTTTATGTTTAAGTGCTAGAAATTGTACCTATAGTATTAAACATGGTATAATATACTGTTAATTAAGTAATATGTATAGAATATTTCTAATTTTATCATTTTGTTTACATTACAAAAGCCGCAAAGTGTTTTTGCAATTGTCGCATTCTTTATGGGTTTTGTATTTGCATTTGTGTATATAATATTTTGGAATTTACTGGATTTTGTGCACAAGATTGTGAAGTAAAAGATCTAGACTCTTCAGGCAAGGATTCAGTTTCAGAGAGTCTTCTTCAATTTATACTTTGCTTCTAAGTTTGCCCCCTGAACTTAGTAAAAATAGCCTTTGTTTCATGTAATATTCTACATTTGCCTATACCAAATGAAGGAATTATATCTAAAAAGGAAAATTATCTAAATTATGTTATATCTTTGCTAGGTCTCAAATATGAAAAATAAAATGTATTTCACCTTTGAGATGCTCGTAACATTTTGACCAGTATTTGCAAAAAGTTTCACAAGACGCATCTGTATCAACGGATTCATCGACATTTGACTACTTAGAGTAGATGTTATTTGAGGTATGTACAAGAAATACACTCGATAGTTGTGAAAAGACCTTGATGCTCAGGATCTTCCAAACTCTTTTCACAGCCTTTATCACTACCACAGCAACGACTACAACCACGAGAACCCGACCTGTCAACGTCTGATAAATTTGCTCGAAGTATCTGGTCTTTCAGGTAATTCCGTCCGTAGAGGAATTCGAACTGACAAGTAGTACCACATAATCGTCGTCGCTATCATGTTTTGTATTTTTTGAGTCAAAATCAGACTCATCTTCACAAATATTTCGGAAGTAACAAAGTTTTTTCATTTTCAAGACTCCAACACGTTGCGACCACAAACTACTTTCAATAATTTCGTAAAAGTTCACAGACACTTGAAATGATACGGTCTCATTTGATAAACAAACTATAAACAATGAATTAGTGTATATTATTTGTATTCTACCCTCTCATATTACACTTATAAACACTCATTGGTTGTCAGCAGTCAAATGACTGCCGCCGTCTTTGTCGGTAGATCAAGATTTTAAATAATAAATAAAAGAGTTGTGATTTATTTTCATACATAATTGCATTTAACTAGTAAAATAAATAAAAGTCACAAAATCTCAGTTTAAAAACTCAAATAGATTTCAAGTTATTCAATATTTAAAATCAAATTGCGGTCAAATGACTGCTCCCGTCTTTCTAGTGTTAAGGCGCGGCGCAACGCGACGCGTCATACACTCGGGCCTGGTTCTGGTCGGGCGGCGAGTCACCCGTGCTCGCCGTCCGCAGGCCCGTGCTTACGGTGGCCAGAGATCGTCTCGCGATCCCCGATGCCCGGAGTGTCTCTCGCGACGGACGGGGCGTGAGGTGGTTCGTTCCCTCATGCGCTCTGCCTCCTCCTTAGCTAGCATACTAGAGGTATACTGAAGCCTACCACGTACTTTTTGAATCATCTTATTTGACAATTTTTTTTTCTTTTCAAGGAGTGAAAGTAACAATCAACACAACGTCACATGAAGTGGTGGATATGTTCTTCAGGGTGGGAGACAAGTATGAGAAGTTCGACGTGAACAGAGACTATCAAGTCACAACTCTGGACTTTTTGACTAGAGGAGGGAATGGGTTTGCGGTAAGCATAAATCTTATCGACATTTGTTGACGATTTGAAAGCCGAAATGCTTAGTTATTCGTAGGGATTCTTAGATGTGTTCTAGATTCAATGATGTGTCAAGAGAAGTGTTATTCATTTTTTGGTGCTTAATATCTCGTGCAGCCGGTGCTGTCGACATTTGAGAGCAACTTAAGGTTTCGTGTTCGACTTTCAGGCAATGCAAAAAGCAATTCTTTTCGCGGGTTCGATTCCCGCACGGATCAACTCTTTATGTGACCCACAGATTGTTTCGGGTCTGTGTGTTGTGTACCTATATGAACTTGTATGTTTGTGACCGCACCCACGACACAGGAAAAATCCTAGTGTGGGGCAACGTTTCAAAAAAAAATATTTTATATTAACATAATAAATATTAATGTCTCCTCTTTTTTTCAGATGTTCAAAGAACACGGTCGCAATATGACTGTTTTGGGAGTAGACAGAGATATCCTAGAGAGGTACGTCAGGAAAGCATCACCAATTGTACCTCACCTGGACAAAAGACTCACCCTAGTTAGCTGATAAGAAATAAACCATAAGTAGTTATAAATAAAGTATTTTCTATGATGGCTTGTATTTTTTTTGTAGTCTATTATTTATATTAGGAAATTTTTGAATAATACGCTTCCTTCAATGGTGTTTAAGGTCCATTTTTACGTGTCGAAGTTTTAAAATCGTGGTTTTATGTGATGTTTGCTTAACAAAGTGTGGGAGAGCCATGCTTCGGCATGACTGGGCGGGCTCGACCGGAGTGATACCAAGGCCTCACAGAAAACCGACGTGAAGCAACGCTTGCGTTATGTTTCGTCGTATGAGTGAGGTTACCGGAGGCCTAATTACCCTCCCCTTCCCCAATCTCCCCAATCCAACCCAACAATTCCCAACAATCCTCAAACTCATAATCCCCAAAAGGCCGGTAATGCACTTGTAACGCCTCTGGTGTTCCAGGTGTCCATGGACGACGCCGATCGCTTACCATCAGGTGATCCGTCTGCTCGTTTACCGGCTTATGCCATAAAAAACACGCCTTTTACCTCCGAAGGCACTTAATGACATTGTACAATGTAACACCTACTTTTCACTATTTATGTTATGAGTTTCCATATTCCATGTAATACCCCTATTACATGGAATATGGAAACTTCAAGCCTATTCCCATAAGCCGGGTACAATTCCAAACTACGTGCTACTATTTAAAAACCCAGTAATACTTTGCCCGACTCGGGAATCGAACGCAAGACCCCTTGCCCAGCAGTCGCACTAGCGACCAATGACCAATGAGTCAATCAGTCATAATTATTATATTTCATTAAAATACTCAAAAAACACTCAATGTTATGAAATTGAAACTCTGAAATGTAATTCTGCTGACCAGTAAATATTATTATAAAGATCAGTAAGTTGAAGTTATCACTCTAGAAGTTTATTTAAAGGCCTGTCTACACTGCATTTTCTTCTTTGGAACTTCTCATAAAAATTCTTTAGAAATCTCTTCATTAGGCCTTTTGTCATTTGCCCATAACGTTCATTGTTTGAGCTGGCCATGTATATAAAAAAAAAAAAACTATAGAACAATTTAATACCTGATCTAATTCCTTACCTTTGCCGTGGAGGGCTTAACGGGTTACCGGGGCTCCAGCTCGAAGTGCAGGAGTAGGAACGGGGTGGTTTTTAGTCAGTAAGAGTCTGATATTCTCTCCGACCTCACGCAGGCGGGAGAAGTAATTCGATTATTTTCCCCCTTAAAAAATAAATAGACTACTTACCTTTAGTTGCTCTCTTATTAAACAGGCAGGGTTTCATATTTTTTTAAGACGGCTCATTCGGCCATATTTGAATTTTCTTCTATAAGTGTATTGGGTGCGTTTAAAGATATATCATCTATACACATAAATAAAATTGAATTATCTGTTTGTTATATTAAAATAACCGCTTTTTACTACATGCATATGAATATAAATACGATACCATATACCTAAAAAAATAACACTTACATTTTTTATCTGTCTGTCTATTTGTACTGGCTAATCTTTAAAAAGGCTAGACCGGTTTTGACGGGACTTTTATTGGTAGGTAGATGATGTACGAAATTGCGTACCTACACACCATACCCAGACCCGGAACAATAATTTGTGTATACCTAAATAATTTCTTTCTTTAGTGGGTCAGGGAAACAATAGTTTCAATATAAAAATGACATTTATTCAAAATCCAAACTAACTACAATGGAAACAGGGCTTTAAATTAAAATTCGCTGAACGCAATCCCGATCGGAATCCATTGATTATCTAATTTACGATTCATTGAGTTGAAAACTTAAATCATTTTAAATATTTTAGTCTTTTGACTTTTGTTGCTTTGATTGGAATTCCTTTTGGATTTGATAGTAATATAAAGATAGGAATTGAATTAAAGAACTATACTTCCTTCTTGCCGATCCGGAGTCGCGGAGAACCTAACGGGTAACCGGGGCTCCGGCTCGACGTGCAGGAGAAGGAACGGGGTGGTTTTTAGTCAGTAAGAGTATGACACTCTCTCTCGCCTCACCCAGGCGGGAGCAGTCATTCGATGATATTCCCCCCTTTAAAAAAATACTTCCTTCTTCCAGCGTCTATCTATCGCCTTTAGCAGTTTTAAGGTAAATGGGTAACAAATATACAACAACTTTCGCATTTAAAATATTAGTAGAATTACAAACATACCGTTTCTTTTTTTATGAGATAATCTGGTAAACGAGCAGACGGATCACCTGATGGTAAACAATCGGCGCCGCCCATGGACACCTGGAACACCAGAGTACAAGTGCGTTTTGCGAATTTGAGGATTGTGTGAAATATGAAGCATGAACGCATATCATTTATCCATTTGTCTGTGAATGTCAAATTGTCTGACTGCCTCGTTGGCCGAGTGGTCGCAATTGCGACTGCCGAGCAAGGGGTCTCGGGTTCGATTCCCGGGTCGGACAAAGAATTACTGGGTTTTTAAAAAATTCTCAGTAGTAGCACGGAGTCTGGAACTATGCCCGGTATATGGCAATAGGCTCACCCCCTATTACATGGGACTCATAACATAAATAGTGAAAAGTGGGTGTTACATTGTACAGTGGTATAATGTGCACCTCTGCCTACTCCTTTGAGGATAAAAGGCGTGATGTTATGTTTATGTGTCAAATTGTCTATGGCTGATTTTCTTTTTAAATTATCTGTGGTCTGATATTAAACGCTTCGTCATTGTTAAATTACGCTCCGTTTTTTAATCAATGTTTCTATTAGATTAGTTCTATAAATCATCCATCTTACAAGTTTTCATCAGGGGAGACTGAGGTCGGGAGGTGGGGGTAATTAGGCCTCAGGTCAACCTCACTCACACGACGAAACATAACGCAAGCTTTGTTTCACGTCGGTTTTCTGTGAGGCTGTGATATCGCTCCGGTCGAGTCGGCCCATTCGTGCCGAAGCAGCCATGCTTTCCAGTAGGTACCTACTAAGCAAAAGACATCGTTTTGCTCAGCATTCGTAAATGGCACTTGTGTCCATTTGTCAATGAGTTATTTGCTATCAAAACGTGTTGATTTAATAACGAGATGAATCTACATAATTAATTTCGATCAGACAATGACTTGTAACAGCTGGTTGCCAGTAGGATATCCAACATTTACAAATTGTTGGGGTAGGTAACAAAATCCAATATTTGTGGTCAGTCAAAGGCTTATTATTGATTTCTTTAATTATGTTTTTTTATTATATATATCAAACAATATTGGTACTCAAAAACATGTTAAACGTTATTTGGACATGCTACATAGTATATCAGATTCAGTTCGATTGGAAGTAGTTTTCAAACTCAAAAGCATTTATTTCAATCAAACCACAATTTGGTACTTTTGAAACGTCAACAAATATGAAATAAATTATAGTCAGTCAGTCTGTCCGTCAGTGAAGCTAGGCGGTCGTTCCAAAAAGTCGATTCGAGTGGAGAAGAATGAGCAAAAAACTCCATTCGTTATTCTTTTAAAAAAAGTCTGTTTTACACTGCTCTGATACATATTCTAATATTGCACACACATGTGAGAATAATGTAAAGACATACCTGACGCATCATACAAATAACAGAACGTACTAAAATAAAAAAAAAAAAACAAAACCAAGAGAAAACAAATATCTTAAGTCTGACATGGTCCTCACATATGTATACTGACAATCCATATAAAATAGTGCTTGTATACAAGAAAAAAAAAATAAACTCTTGTTTAAATAAAGAAAGAAATGTAATGTGTATCAACAGTAAAATACAATGAACACCTTAGCAATAAATCTCTACTTACCTGAGATAAGTATTAGGGTTGATTTTCCAATCATTAGTTATTTTTTGACTGTAGGATAAAATTGGCATTTTAAAGTTTTTAGTATGGAAGAATTGTCAAATATTCAAAGTTATTTCTCAGTTAAAATTTACTTTACGTTGGAAAAATCAGCCTTCAATCAATTTATTTAATAAAGCAATAAATATGCTCACGCATCTAACGTGTGGACCACAGCGGCGGGAGGCGCGGCGGGCGGGGGACGCACACAGCTGATCGGGCGCACCGCCGCCGCACCCCGATCGGCTCGCCTACGGATTTGGTCAGCGACAGACGTGTCGTGCGCTCAGAAATATTATATATTTTAATCGATCTGTATTAAAGTAATTATGTGTCTAAAGCAAGTCGTTCATTATTAAAATCCTAAACAGATATTAAATTATCCCAGTAATTCTCTAAATCCTGGTAACCCTAAACCACCTCATTGCTATTCGTACCCCTAAATCTTTTGGAAATCAAGTGTTCCTTTAGTTTAAACAATTAATTTTAATAATATGCAAATGAGATCTTTGTTTTTGAGGTAGAAACGAACAGACCGCTTGTCATACTGTCCACCTGGTTACAATTTTCAAATCCAGTCGAGCGCGAAGTTTTTTCAATTTAAGATGTCTGGATACTAGATGTGGCTTGGAAGAAAATATTTCTTAACCAACTTCAAATAAAGAACCCCCCATTACATGGAACTCATAATATAAATAGTTAATAGAGGGTATAACATACATAAAACTACCTTAGTTAATATTAATAAGTAGGTACTAGCTTCTGCCAGTGACTTTGCCCGCATTCCTGTGCAATGTGACTATTATTCCAGATCATTATCTACGCCTGTTCTTAATTTCATCCGTTTTGACCTAAAAGAGTATCAAACACACACTCCCATACATCCTCACAAACTTTAGCATTCATCATTTACTAGCTTCTACCCGCGACTTCGTACGCACAATCCCATTTTCTACCGTTCCCGTTGGATTTTCAGGATTTTTTTCTGTCACAGGAACCTTCTGACAGTAACAAATACAATAAAAAAAATGTGAAATCAGTCCAGTCATTCACGCGTGATGCCGTGACCATGGGAAAAAGGAATTCATTTTTATATAATACTAGCGGACCCAACAGACGTTGTCCTGCATATCCACTTGAATGTTTAAACAAAAATTCATTC